TAAGTTTCTAAACGTAATTCAAGCATTTTAGTATAGTTTTAAAAATATTTATTAATATATAATTTATAATAATAATAATAATTTTGGTTTCAGTGTTCAGTCACTTGCTCCACTCTGAGAGCTACATCCTCTTAGGCGAATTTCTGGCAAATTCAGTTATTATTTCACTTTCATCGAATTGCTCTTTTTTATTTATATTAGCTATAGCTAACCCATTCAGTCTGTTTTCCAACATGGTGCTTCTTAAAAAAAAATTAAGCGATTAAGTGCTGAAAACGTTCTTTCCGGAGTGAAAGAGGTAACTGGTAACGTGGCAAATAATTGTAAAATTATTTTAATGTTAGGTCGAAGATTGGTGCGATGAGAGAGTGAATCAAGAGCAGAATTCGGTGTTGGAATAGTATTTTGACTCCATTGTTACCTTCATATGAACAGGTCAGTTCTGATTGTAGATGAGGTATCATCATGGAGATCTTGGACATATATTTTAGCAGCTTTTATAATATTTTTATCGTCATACATATTTAAATTGGCCGGAATAAGTCCTTCAAGTGGCATAACATCAATAAGCCTTTGATTAAAACGAGCATCCATTGATTCTATTAAATAGTCAAGATACATTATACATATAAACACAGCCCATGGGGGTGGCTATAGCCCCCTTAGCCCTCCTTGGCTACGCCACTGCTCTTATGTAATATCTATATAGATATAAATATTGACAGTGAAAATAACATAAAAAATATAATTAATAGATTTTCTAAAGGAAAACAACAAAATATTAACTATGTATTATTAAAATAAAGTATATATACTATTAATTTGTAACACCATAATATTATGCTAATGTATTCCTTTAATTGTTATACGATTTAAATTCTTTCTTAAAGTTACAACTTACCATACAAACAGTAGCATATTTTCAGGGAGAGGTTCCCGGGTCTTGACCATCTAGAGACAAAAAGGTTTTAAAGTTACAAATTATTTGCTATGAAGATACAAAGAAAGAGAAGGTTAATTTATATTTAGTGATTGTAATATTGTAATATTTTTTGTTTATAGAGAAGATTGAATGGTTTAGTGATGTTATCAATAAATAAAAAAAACTTAATAACAACTAAAGAAATTATTATTGAATTCACCATACAAAAGACGTTTACCTTTTTTACTATAAATAACCCTTAAATTATATTTTTAATGATACTAGAATAATATAATTATTCATTCATACATTATATGTATTTTTTATAATATTATATAATTACTTAAAAAAATATTAACCCCCCTCCCCACGAAAAATTTTAGAATACGCCATTGCATATATATAACCTATTAGCATATAAATATATATATATGGCTATGCGCCCTCCCGTGAAAAATTTCTAAATCCTACCCTGAAACAATGTTTAATCTGGTAGTTAACCGAATCATATTGATTTTTAATGTCATTCATATAGTACTAATAATTATTTATAATTAAAAGTTAACATCGCCTTATTACCTATATATTTGTAATTTATGTTATTATATTAATAATAATGTTCATAACATATGTATAAAACAAAAGTAATACATAAAACAGGGTATTAAACGCATGTATGATAAATCAATTTTTTTAATTTTTTAGCATTTAAAATATATTAAACTGAGAACTTATTCAAAAACCTATTTCATATTTACGTGTATGTCGATTTTAGATATACTCGTATTTAGTCTCTACTTTTAGATTAGACATGACATTTATTAGAATCTACAGTGTTGTTTTATAACATGGTGTATTAAAATAGAATTTCTTTTGAATTCTAATTCGGGTACATACACCTTATTTAGAGATAAATCGAAATTAATTTATCGTAAGTACCTATTATTATTGTAAAACATTTTCAATTATTTAATCCTATTGCTGTAAAATAATAGAAATAAAAATATTATGCAAACGAGAAATAACATTATCTTATTCTATTTAAATATATTATAGCCAAGTCAGTACAAATCAATCGTATGTTGTACTTAATCTATTCGTTAAATAATATTCTCAATACTGTTTACAAAAATCAAATATTCAACAATTCTTTATAGTATCAAATGTATACCAAACCATGGTCAAAATTAAATAACTCCCATCTTCATCTAAATAACTGTGTACCATAGTATATATTTTATTCACAATTTATAAAAACATCCAAGTTATAAAAAAAAATCAATATAATTATTAGCATTCATTTTATAATATTTATAATTTATCTACTTTATAATATATTATAAAATCAATGGTTATATGTTTGTAGCTGAAAATTATGAGATATCCCTTTTATAAATTCTGAAATAATTCTGGCTTTATATTTATTGCACATGAAAATAATATTTTCTATCCGGTACTTATCCTTAATTTTTTTCAGACATAATTATCAGAAATTAATTGTTCAACTTTCCATTTATTTAAACTCAATACACATTACAATATAAATGTTAATAAATTATTTTAAATCAGTTAAAATACGGCTTTTGCAATTGTTTTGTTTACATTTTAAAATCTGAAATAATGATATATTTTTAAGCGATTCATTTTAAATTTTTCAGTAATGAATTGACGTATATCCGTAACAATTGTTGTGTCGCTGTGTATATTTTAAAACAACATAGATTATTAAATGTCAACTGGATATTATTAGTATAATATATTATCTTATCGTATTGTTGCATGATTTGTATTTATCAAAATAATTGTGATAGAAAATCAAAAATATTTAACAATTTTTTATTTTTGTTATTTTTAAATATGTGATTTATGTCGTTATTATATTAATATTTTCTTGATACATTAAGTCATTATTTCTATATGTTAAAAACTTGTTGTAAAAAAATGATTATATCTTAAACTTTTTTGACTTTATTATTCAACAATTTTCTATCATTCAGATGCGAAACGATATTTTTTAAAAAATGTTAATGATTTTAAATATTGTCTTGATATTATTACTTTTTTTTTTTGATTAACTATTAATGTATATATATTTTTTGTAGAATAAGTTGTTTTAGTTGTTAAAATATAGAACTTAAATACGATGTTAATTTAACCAACTACTTATATCATACTTATATCACAAATATCATAATTTATAAATATTTTATGCACTATAATGATGTAAATATTAATACAGTTAGTAGCTAAACTTCGTTTAGATTATTTTCTAATGTACTGATTTTTCGTTACTTTTAAGATGTAATATATTTATACATTAAAATTAAAGACGAATCAACTGTAGATTCCATGTATATTCCAATACCGTAATTATATCGTTAGTTATATACAGGGCTAGGATTTGTATGCAATAAAAAATTGTAAAATATGCATTTTATTTACCAAAATATGCATTTAAATTTTTATAAGTCAAACAAAAAAATATAGTTACGAAAAAAAATATTTATTTATTGAAATACAGTATTTATTTATTTTTTTTTTATTTTATTTTTTTTTTAATTATTTTTAATTTTATTAATTTAAATCTCTTTTTAAATCCTTTATTTTTTTTTATAAAATCAAGGATATTTAGTTCTTTACTTTATAACTTTTATTATAAAAATAAAATTTATGTTTGACAAAAAAATTAAGATCTATACTTAAATTAGCAGGGCTAGAATTAAATACGAAATATTAATATTAAGTTATAAATATTAATTACGAAATATACATATATTGAATAAAATATTAATTTTTAGCATTCTTATAATTGAAATATGCTATAATATTCATTTTATTCAATATATGCAATAATATGCAAAAACATGCAAAATTAAAACAGTACCATTTATCTCTTCATGAGGTTAGATGGTTAGGTGATTCGTGGACATTACTGAGAAAATCAATAATTAGAAGTCGCAAAAAAAACATGCTGTTGCATACAAATCCTAGCACTAGTTATATCATTGATTAATGTAGGTTAATACATTTTAATACTCATCTGAAAATCGAATCTATGAGTAAAAAATGCTATCTATTTTTAAAAAAAATTTTTGGGTGAAATTGAAATTTTAAATGTTTAAACAACAATGTTTAATCTATATTTTTATTTAATAGTAAATTCAAGTTGTTACTATTCAAGTACAGTTGCGTGATGAACAACGTTTGCCTAATGCAATTGCTTAGCCCTAGAAATCTATCAAAGAGATGGGTATCCTTTGGCTTATGTATTTACGAACATATATTGTTTAAATAATTTAATTAATTAGTTTATCGTATGTATTGGAAAATGATATAATATACACATATGGAAGACAGATAACTGAAAGGAGTTAAGTAAAATTCTATAGTACAAGAGAATAGTTATATATATATATATTATGTAGTAGGTCGGAGAGGGTAATCGGTTAAACTCGGTAAACTTTGCTATAGGGTTTGAAATATGCTTGCCACGCCACTGTTCCAAGTACTGAACTAATTATAAAAATAAATGTTTAATTTTGGATTTGTTTAATATTAAATCTATTATGTTATACAAATCCTTTATTCTATCTATAGTAATTATTTTATATAAAGAATAAAAAATATTTTAATATAATATAATTGCCTCGAGGGGAATAGAAAATACCTCATTTCGATTTTTTCCCTTTGAATATGATTTCAGAATGTAATATCAGTCCTTACATTCTTCTTAAAAATTGATAGTATTTTGTGTTACTTATAAAAAATGTAATGTTAATATTTTGACATACAAATACAATTAAATATTTTGAAAGAAGTTTTTATTCAAAAAATATAACTTAGATACCATATTATTATTATGTTCATATTTTACATTGTAAAAAATTGTAATATTTTCTATACTTTTTATTTTTTTCACCTCTATCATTTATATTAAATTGATTTAATTGTAAAATACTTCAAGCTTATTACATTATTTAATTAATATTAATGATAAATCAATTATATTTTAGATTTACAAATAGTGCCAGATGTTCCTGAACTTACCCTTACTTCAGGGGCTGATTTTATACTTCAGTGTATGGGAGATGTACCAGTTACATGGAAATTAGAGAAATATGATCCAAATTTAAATGTCAAAAAAGTATGGATTATTTTTATAACTTAATAATTGGTATGAATATTTGTTAATCATACATTTTGTATAGATGTCTTCTATCGATATATCACAAGGGCTACTAGCCAATAGCAGTCATATATCCCTGTTAACACTGAGTAGAGCGAGTTATTTGGATACTGGATACTACTACTGTGTTCCATTGTCTGAAACCTTGAAACTAGATGAACAAAATTCTAAATCAATATACTTATTTATTCAACGTAAGTATTTATGATAAAACTATTATAATTGATTTTTTTTTTTCATTTTCATTTGTATACATAATTTCGATATAATTAATATATATATATATATATTATTTATTTTTCTTTTGATCCTTATTGTGAAATATGTTTAGATGATACATATTTACTTGCGGTTCCAGAAGATTTAGTCATGTTATCTCCAAATGAATATGCTAATGTTATTATACCTTGTAGACCTACATCACCTGATGTTAATGTTACATTATTCAAAGATGATGAAGAAGTAATTTATTATAGATTCCAATATACATTTTTGTAACAAAATGGTGGATGTTCACTAAAAGATAAATTGCTTATCAAAAAAATAATTTATATTTACAATAGTCAACTATTAGCAATTTATATTAGTAGTTGTTAAATAAAAATTGTGAGGCACTTAATGTTTTATACATAAATATATATTCAATCTTGATCTATAAATTATGAATTAATTGTTAAAGTAACACATATTTCAAAAAAAATCGATTATAAAGATCAATCATTATTTACAAAATAATTTAATTTTTCTATTTCAGTTAAATGCACAATGTAAAATATCAGTGTTTAAGATGTAAAACCATGCTATCAAAATTATATATACATTTTAATAAAATAATGAAAAAATGGTTTCAACTATGAAACATTTAATATTAGCTTCTATGTGATTATAATATTCATTATTATTTTATTTAATAAAATCTTTTATTAATCTTCCTTCAAAAAAATGAATCATTTATGAATAGTGATTATGTGATTTCACATCTTAATAATATATATGCTAAACTTTTGTTTGTTTGATGTTCCATTTTATAATTTAAAATAATTAATTGCACATTTGTGAGCACCTAAACTAATCATAATAATTAATAATTATAATTTATGCTTGGATTTTAATAATTGCTATGTGAATTGAGTTAAATGTGTATGCCTAACATTTTCTTAATATAGTTGGTGCCTGGTAACTCATATAATGGCATGGAAGTGCATTATGACAATAAAATAGGATTTTTTCTCGGTACAGTGACAATGTTTAGTACAGGGTTCTACAACTGTCGTGCTGAATTGAATCACAAAGAATATATTCCAACATTTCATTATCAGCTTTTTGTTATGCGTAAGGGAATTTTGAATGTGTTGAATATATTTAAAAATTTGCTTAACTGCTATGGCTTTAAGAATGCTTTGTTGCAAAATTGTTTTATACATTTTGCTTGATACATAAAAAATATGTATGTAATGTATATATATTTCAGGTTACTGAGAATTTAGATTATGATGAAAAAGTAGGATTTAGTCTTATATCACCTTCAATAATAGATTCTGGTGATTACAGTTGCGAGGCTAACCGGAATAACATCAATGAATCACGAAAGTTTACTGTTTTTATTAATCGTGAGTTTGTAATGTTACTTACATGGTGTTGGGTTATTTAAATATAGAAAATTTATAGTCTTATACATTATGTATTAATTATACTAGTGTAACTTTTCATAATTTTTGTGATAAAAATGTATTCATAAAGTAATTTTTAACATAGTCTTGTCAATTTATCCTTTTTTTCAAATAAATTCTTAATTTTTATATATTTTTATTTTTTCTTATAGTTTTGTTTAAATTTTAGAAAGTTAGTATATTTATCAAATTAGTTCTAACTAGTTCTGTCATGAAATAAAAATATTCAAAGTTGCCCAAAAAAAAGTAGGTAATAATGAAAATTGAATTGAATAAAATATAAATTTATATATGCAATTTAATTACCTATGTATAATGTATATAGTATTGAGAAATAGCATTTTTGTATTAACAACAAATTATTTCCTAAGTAATCTAATGACTATAAAAGTTTAATTTTATTTCAAGTTTTATTTATTATAATTAATAATTGTTTAAAATAACATTATTTTTAACATTTGGTAGGTATCTACCAAATTGAGCTTCAAGTTGGCTTATTGCATTTAATACATTTTTTTATTATTAATTTTTAATGATAATAATAAGTATTGATAATAATTTATTATTATAATTTTTAGCCAAAATTCATCAAGTAGAAAAACCCTATATTAATAGTAGTGGACAATCAGATCATATAATTATTGGTCAAAATTTAAGTCTCAACTGTTCTGTAAGCATGGATATTGGTATTGGTTTCACATTACGATGGAAAGTTCCTGATGAACAGAAACTCAAAGTATGTTTTTTGTGAAATAAATTTAATAATATAATGCTATCAAGACATTTTATACTATTTTATATATTATGAATATTTTCCATAAGACTGAACATATGAAAATTGGCAAACAAAATTTTTTTAATGGTCTAAAACACGGAATCGGTAAAAGTGTTGGAAGTATTTTATTGAACATTCAAAATGTTTCTTCAGATGATGAAGGTGAATATATTTGTGAAGTAACAGTACATTCTGGACATACAAACCGTAATACTTTTAATCTAAAAACATTTAGTAAGTTCAAAATAAATTATATAACAATTATAATAGGTAATTAATGACTGTTAATAATTATTTTACTGTTTATTTTTAGCTCCTGATATGACTTACTTGAATTTGACAGTTCAAGGTGGTATTTATAAAATAATACGTAGGGCAGGGTACCAATATGTACAATGGATAATATTAGTATCAGCCTACCCGGCACCAACACTTGTATGGTGAGTGGGAACAAAAAATAACATATTACTATTTGTTTTAATATAAATTAAGTATAATTTTATTCACAGGAGAGATCCTGATGGAAGAGAAATAGGAAAAGAAAATATAGATAAAGTGTCAGTGGAAAATGACAAAAGTACCTCCAAATTAGTTATACGTGATTTACAACTTTATGATTCTGGTGTATATGAACTCGTTGCTCATAACGATGCACATGTACAACGAATTACTGTGACTCTATTGGTTGAAAGTATTTACTTATAACTTATTAATTATTTATAGTTTTTGTTCTGTGAAATTATTTTATTTTACTTTTTAGATGAACCATTTGTGGAAATAGCCAACAAATCAACTGTAGGAGAATTTTATGAATTAGGAAAAGTACACAGTGTTCAGTGTTATGTAGGTGGTTATCCTTTGCCTGGTGTTGAATGGTCTTTTAAACAATGTTCAAACTATCCAAATTGTGATGATTCTTTCATTAAATTATCAGTAAATTTATATAATAATATATGTTTGAATGTACAAAAATTAATGTTATTTTTAAAAATTGCAGAGAAATATGTACAAAGAAGTTGTATTTAAAGAAACATTTCTTGTATCAACTTTAAATATTACTGCTACCGAGACTGGAATATTTTTGTGCAATGCAACAAATGATTTTGGAAATTCTTCTGAAGAATCAACATTTTTAGTAACTGGTGAGCTTGTAAAATTATTTTATTTTATATTTATTATTATTATTTCTAAAAAATATGTTGAAATACTAATTTTTGTTTAAAATAAAAAGTGCTCAAAAAAATATTTGAGTTAAAATTCAAGAATGTTATAATGTATGTATATATACAGTTAATAATAATACTTAGAATTTAGTATATCTTATTAAATTATTAACCTTAAAAATGTTATTTAGATTTATCTAAGGGTACTTTTGGCTTGGATATCAATGGACCACCATTGGTTGTTGATGGAGATAATGTGATAGTTGAATGTGGTGCGTCTAAATATTATTATCAACAGGATATTAAATGGATACATCGAACATTAAATAATATAGAGATACCAATGCAAAACACTGAGAGTAAGTTCATTTTTTCTACTAGAAACTATTTTTTTTATAATCATTTTAAATCTTTTGTTTTAGATATTAATATTACCAATAGTACATCCAAATTTTCCCACCGCTCATATTTAACAATCAAAAATATTACAAAGAAATTTGATGGAGAGTTTTTATGTCTTCTAATTGAATTAAATAAGAAAAATGTAGTAACAAAATCATATAAACTATCTGTCAAAGGTAACTTTCTGAAAAAAATACCAAAATTATACTATATCTTATAAACTGTTATATAAAAATAGATTCATTTCGTCCAGTGATTTATGAATCATCCAATTCTAGTCTGGAAATCAAAACAGGCACTCCAGTGCAATGGAAATGCTATGTACGTGGTATGCCACCACCAACCATTTCATGGTTTCTTGTAAGTAATATTGTTTAAAAATTTAATTATTTGAACTAATAGATTTATTTTTTCTTTAAGAATGATCAAAAGTTGTTCTTCAATAAAAGTGATTCAAGAATGCTTTTAAAAGATAAAAATCAAACACTTATAATACGATATGCAGCACTACAAGATGGAGGGTTGTATAAATGTAATGCTTCAAATAGAATTGGCAGTGTCATTGCTACTAATACGTTGTCTTTTCTTGGTATGTTTTAAACATTCCTTCAGGATATAATTTTTTAACAAGACAAAAATATAGTTATCATCTTAAATTTTGTAATTATTATTATATATGTACATGATTGGAATATTATAAATAGTTAAATAATTTTTAATACTAAATATATATTTTGTTGTCATAGATTATAATCTTTTTTTCCATGTTTCATCATTATGTTTATTTTTGGTTTATTTTAAACTATTATATAGTTAAATTCTTTGTTGTTGTATGTTCTACAGACAAACCTAAGGACCATGAACATTTTGGTTTCATTGCTTTCTGCTCTGTGTTGATTGTACTATTGGGAGTTCTTATGATAGGTTGTGCTACACGTTTAAAGCGAGAAAGGGTAATGATTAAAATTTAATTTTAATGTAATTTCCTTTTTTTGAGCTTGTTATATATTCTTTATTATAGAAATTAAGAAAAGAATTGGCCCTAGCTGGTCTGTTATATTTTGAAAATGGTGCTGTTGAATCCTGGAATCCTGATTTGGGAATTGAGGAACAAGCAGAACTACTTCCATATGATAAACGATGGGAGTTTCCTAGAGATAAACTTAAACTTGGTAAGCAGTTAATCGAAAATATTTTGTAGTTTATAATTTTATTAGTTTGATTCCAAAAAGTATTTATTATATAACATATTAAATAAGATTAATATTAAAGATCAAAAACTGATATTACATAGTTTTTATAAACTATGACAATAATTATTTTATTTTTTAGGTAAACAACTGGGTTCAGGAGCATTTGGTGTTGTTTTTAAAGCAGATGCTATTGGTATAATTGATAGAGATACAACAACTACTGTGGCCGTTAAAATGGTAAAACCAAATACAGATCCATCCCATATTAAAGCTTTAGCATCTGAATTGAAGATAATGATTCATCTTGGAAGGCACTTAAATGTAGTTAATCTACTTGGAGCTTACACTGGAAATATAAACAAAAGTAATATCAATTTTTAAACTTAAATATGTTTTTTAGAATGTTTATTAAATAAAAATAAATATATTTTAGGAGAGTTGATGGTGATTGTAGAATATTGCCGATTTGGTAATATTCATCAGTATCTGTTAAAACAAAGGAACTGTTTTGTGGATCAAGTGACACCTGATGGCTATTTAGATTATAATATTAAAACAATATCAAAGTAATCTAAGTTAATGTTTAATATTTTCTACAATTTAAATGCACTAAATGTAACAATTAATACATACATTTATATATATTTTTTTATTTAGAAATCCTTACTATGAAAATGTTCCTAATAATAATTGTGTCCCAGAAAAACCTGATGATAGTAGTACTCAAATTGGCTCTGATGGCTATTTGGTAGCTGATGAACCTGAATGGCGTTCCAATTATCGAGGAGATTATAACAATTTAATTATTAAGCCATTATGTACTCATGACCTATTGTGTTGGTCCTTCCAAGTAGCACGAGGAATGGAATATCTGGCTAGTAGAAAAGTATGTTTGTAAAATTAAAATTAAATTTTGTATATATTTAATTTTTATATTTGTTTTCAAGATTCTTCATGGTGATTTAGCAACAAGAAATATTCTGCTGGCTGAAGATAATATTGTAAAAATATGTGATTTTGGATTTGCAAAAACTATGTACAATAGTGAAAACTATAAAAAACAGTCAGCTAATGTATAATCTATATTATTGTGTATTTTTACATGTGTATAAAATGAGTTTAATTACGTTTTAGGATCTCTTACCTGTAAAATGGATGGCAATTGAATCTCTTCGGGATCGAGTATTTTCAACTCAGTCCGATGTTTGGGCATTTGGAATTGTTTTATGGGAAATATTCTCACTAGCTGTAACTCCATACCCAAGTAAATAATATTTTATGGTTATTTTATATTCATAACAATTTTGAAAAATGTATAGATAAAATTATTTTATTTTAGATATTCAAAAATTCAATGAACTGTTTGAAAAATTAGTTGGAGGATATCGAATGGAACAACCGAAATATGCCAATTTTGATATGTAAATAACTTATAAACTCTTATATAAATATTATATTTTTACAATTTAATTTATTATTTATGTTCAGATATAATATAATGTTGGACTGTTGGAAAATGAATCCTATGACAAGACCATCATTTACTGATTTATCTGAACGCTTGGGTGATTTGTTAAAAGATGGTACTAAATCAGTAAGTAGATTTACAATATACTTCTGATCTATATAATTTTAATTGATTTGAATAACTGAAATTATATTCATCCAAAGCATTACATGAACTTAAATGAGGTTTATATGAGAATGAACACTGAAGGATCTCCTTCAACAGACTATTTAAGTCTTTTGACTGCACCAACTTATTTGAATTGTTCAACTGTATCAGAAAACAATTCAAACTCATACCCAAATATTTCTGAACATTCAGAAACCAAAGAAGATCTAGAATTAAAACCCATGCTTTATAGTTCAGGTTAATAAGTTTTATTTAATTTATTTCTGCTAATTTTAGTTATTGATTTTCATTTTTTTTTTCTGCTTAGAATTTTTTTTTTTTATGGCTTAACATTGGTATTCTTGGTAAAAATGAATGAGTTCACTTATCAAACTGTATTTTGTGTAATTTTTAGAGTGTTCTGATTACATAAACTTAACAAAACCATCATATTTCTCTAACCCAAATTATGATGTTGTGGATAAATCCAAAAACTATCCGTACTTACAATCACAGTATCCAAGGTATACATTTCAAAACTCGCTTACTAAAATTTTCCACTACAAATTATTTGCTTTTGTTAATTTATTAGCTTTTAAATTATTCTAAAATCTACTATAAGATTTTTTGCATGTAGTATGTTTTATTAGTTTTAAATATTTTAAACTATTAGCTAACAAATTATTCATATTCTTATTTCTTATTTCTTATTTCTTTATTCAACCTTATAAATACTTTTTTATAAAAAGAAAATATATTGGAAGAAATAATTTTTATTGTTGAACTATTAAAATTCACATTTTGACACAATTTGAGTTTGATGTTGAATTTTAAAAAGTTTTTGTGTTATTCATTAATATATAATATTTTAAAAGCTTATATTCTTACTCTGTCCGCTTAAAATCTGGTCGCTAAAAAAAATTGTACACAAATCAATTTCTCAATTTTATAAAATAACATTTTCACGGATATTTTATTTTAGTTATTGACATAATGGTGTAAACAATTAAATAATAATATATTATGAAAAATATGCTGTTCTAATTTGTTATTTTTTGTAGTTTTTTGGAGTGAATTGTAAATATATTGCCTTTTACACATAATTAAACAAAACAAGTTAAAACAACTTATTTTTGTAATGCTCAATAATAATAAATCAATAATTGATGAATTTATTATGTATAAAATTAGCCTACTAATTATTAGTATTTCATTTAAAAACCATAAAAATAAAACGAAATTGCTTAACGTATATGATGCCCATAAAATTGTATTTATAAATATTTTGAAAGGAAATAGAGGCATGTCACTATAAAAACTATAATTTGTCTTAAATATTTTGTTTTTTTAAAACCTATTTTATAGGCAACTTCAGAAATCTCACTCAATGAGCTCAATCAACTGATCCAATGCTCCTTTATATTGTACATGTGTTATTAAATAATTAATTTTATTTATGTACATATCTTATTTGTTATTAATAATATGAAGTAATACACTGTTAAAAAATTAATGCTGTGGTTAACTTTATAAAATTAATAAATAAATGTATATAGTGTATATTCTAATCTCTAACTTATATCATTATAGCTTATTATAATTTGATATATTTTTCAAAATTTAATTACAACTATTTATTTTAGCTATGTATGATTCCTTAAGAAAACCATGAAGAAGTACAATTTTTCTGACAAGTAATTAATATCAAGGAATTGTTACCATTTTTGTATATTGTTGCTGAATCAAATTATTTATCTATTTGATATTTTACATTACTCAAATATATACAGGGTACAACTGAATTAATAAAAGTTAAAATAACTTAATCTCTTAATATCTTAAATTTATAATTTTAAAACTCCTATAAGTTTTCCTTTTTTTTTAGTTTTATTATTTGGCAATCATTTTTTCAATATTACCCAAAGTATAATAAGTATTTTAGCATAAAACTAGTCAATAATTTATTATATACATTAAAATTTAGAAAAAATGTTTTGTAGTGATTAAAATCATTTTTATTTTGTAGTTAAATAACTTATTGCATACACTGTATTTATAATAATTTTGTTTAAAAGTATTATATTATTTTAACATTACAATGAGTATATTATATATTATTGTTTTCTATAAACCATTATTATTTATTTAAATTATTTATATTTTGTTTGTATTGATTAATTATTTTGAAATGTATAGTTATTTATTTAAAAACTAAGTTTGTGTACCTATATTATTTTTGAACAAAGACTTTTTTGCTACTTTTGTAGGCAATTTCTCATAATTTGTTTTCTTTGTTATTTGTCCTAATCACAATACCTATTTTTTCCTATAGAATTCCTAAATGTATCTATAAAAATGCTCGGAAATTGTATACCTACCATCAACACTGCTTCAGATTTAATATTTGTATTTTATCATACATATTTACAACTAGTTTCTTAAGACAACTAGCTAACTTGATATCAGTAATATGTACATCCAAAATATGAATCACTCGACAAAAGAATATTAAAATCCATTAAAATTTAAAATTATTAATCATTAAAATCCCATCATGATTTATCTTTTAAATATGTCTTATAAGATTTAATTAATTTTTATCGATTTTTAATTTTGTTTTTTTTTATAACTAAGTTTCTTAAATAAAACTGGTATGCTATTAATGTTATGGTTTATTTACAGTTTTTAACAAAATAAAATAAATTCTAAAAATTATTGTTTAAAAGTACCTGTAATGGACCTTTAGGATTAACTGCATAAATAAAATAAAGTTAAACCAATAAGTGGACTGTATACTTTATTCATTTTATTGTCTTGAAGTTACTTGCTGAACGCAATAAATCATTATTTTCAGCATTCACCTAATATCTTTCCCACATAATTTATATATATATATAACCCCAGCCTTTAAGTCCACCGAAATATGTTGAGCGAAGGGAGATGAAATACCATTTGACACCGATATTTGTGAGATTTATTTGTAGGTCTTCCTGTAGTTGCTTTGGTTGAAATCAGTGGCGCACACAGGGAAAGTCAGGGGTGTCGACTAACACACCTCAGAGAATTGGTGGATGACTAGTTCTGTGTGAACTTGTATAAATATTTGTTTAATTTAATACTTATCAAATTTTCAGCTATCCAAATCAACATACTAATTATGTTTACCCTTGAATTAAAGTGTCACATGAGAATAAGTAGTAGGGCTCTATCTCAAAAAATATGCTATACAAACTTATAAATTAATACCCAAAAAATAATTAATATTAGGTTTATTAAAAAATTTTTATTTTTAGTATATTTGTTACTAAGAAAAAACCAAAAAAAAACCACTTAAAAATAAGAATTATACTATGCCTAAAATCAGATTTTACTGGTGGAGGTGGGTCGGTACCTCGAAATATATATTTTCGATATCCTTAATCAAAAATCTACTGTGTGCCACTGATTGAAATAATGGAAGTAGATAGAAAAGAGGGCTTCTGGAACAACCACCAGCCGCCGCCGCCCGATCACGTAACCTATTTATATTATACCTCTCCACTATTTTTTATTTTTTCAATTTTTATTTTCCTATCGTTTACATAACCTATCTATTATATACCCTCTTTTTTATTCCTTGTGCCACCCGAATATATTACACCAACTACACTTCCCCTTATACTTACTCTTATACATATATTATAATACTATATTACTTAAAATAATTTTAATACTATATAATACCCCACTACGCCTTCTTCTCAAACATGTATATTTTATCGAAGTATATAATACTATATTATGTAAAATAATTTTAAGACTATATTTAAAATAAGACTTTTTAAAATTATTACAATTATAGTACAATATTCCTATACATAGAGTGCTAATGAGTAATAATAACAATTGCCAGGAATGTCAATGTCTACCCAGTAAATGCTATCGATCCTAATTATCGATATTAAGCATATTAGCGAATCAAATATAAATTCTCTATTCATATACAAAATTATTTAAAATTTTACTATATAACCATATTATTCAAATTATTACAACTATAGCACAATAATCGTATACATACAGGGCCGACGGAGGGTAAGGTGACTCAGGCTGTCGCCTAGGGTGCCATTTTCAGGGGAGCGCCGAAATTGTTTTTTCCAATTTTGCACATATTTCAGCAATATTATTTTTTATTTTTTTTTTTTTTAATGTAAAATACCTATAACAGGGGTTGCTAAACGGTCGATCGCGGACGATTTCAGAGTCGATTGTGTTAGAATTTATTTTTAGGCCACGTACACGAAAATTAATTGTGGTGGTTATGAAAAAATTATCGATAAGTTTTATCTGTAAAGTTTTCATCTTTAATTCTGGTTTATAAAAAATTTTTCCAAAAATGTCGATCTTCAAAGATGAAGTATATTTTTTAGTAGATCGTGGCCGAAAAAAATTTGGCTGCCTCTGACCTATAACTTTGTATTAAAGTATTAATAATATTTATGGTTATTTCGTTTAGCCGTATATTAAAATAATATAAGTATATTTTAAATATATTTACTATAGTTTAGCATAGAATATTTTATTGTTATGTTGCTATAATTCCTAAATTCATTTGTTATCGTTCAATCGAGATCACGTCGAGCCGCCGTGACTCGTGACTAAAAAATTAGACGATAAAATATTATGTACAAGTTGAGCATAATGTATAATTTTTCTGTATTTCTGTTCATGAACAACATTTTTTCTAATTATAATAAAATTACGGGTTTTTGTATGAAAAAGGCGCCAGTTGGCATTTCGGCCTTGGTCGTCATTTAGCCTTACGCCAGCGCTGTATACATAGAACGCTAATGAGTACTCTTATTAATTTTAGTTAAATATGTAATCATGTAAACCTTGTTGAAAGATATTCATAGCACTGCAATAAAAATCACTAGTTAAAACCTAACCGTATTCTGTGTAAATAACAATTATATTTTTCGGAAAATAATTAAAGCTTATAAATTAAATAATAATACATTAATACCTTATGCCGAAAAATATAATATTGATTAATCATAAATTAAACATAAGCTTTATACAAATAGAGTACTTCATTTTAGATCCTAATCGTACCCTAATAATAATTACAATTAATCTAGTAATTTAAAAATATCTCAAAAAAAAAAAAAAAATTAAATCAATTATAGAAAATGGTTTGCATGAATGTTTCCTGAAAATTTTCAAATACCATTTTTCCAATAGCTTTAACAACAGAACACTTTTTAATAATCACTGTAATTATTTTTACTACGTATAAAACATTTAAATATTATTTTAAAATTTTTTATATTTATGATATAATAATAACTTTTATATTTTTAAATATAATTACTCTACTAGTAATATAAAATTAGATTAAATTAACTTTAGACAATCTTAAAAAAATCAGTTACTGATCGTAGATCTTTAAGTTTTCCACTAAGAAAATAATTGAACCAGGAAATATACAATTTTTTTCTCCTGATAAATTTATGACAGTAATCTATATTCTGATTTGTGAAAAGTGAAAAATCCCATAAAACAAAGAAATTATCTTAAAGGAAACTAAGTATTTAAATATCCTTTCTTCTTTACTATTCTACATTTTTGAAGGTATTATTTTTGGCTGTGACACATACAAGTTTTAGTTTAATATTTTTGAGCAATTATTAAAACACGTGAATCCAGATTAGCTGTATACACCATAATAAAATGGTTATTTAACCAAAGGAGCTGGAAAATTGTGAGAGTATCATTGTAAGAATAATAAAAATTTTATAATGAAACTCCGACTAAATCGTAAAAAAATTTATAAATAGTAACCAATAACTTTTTTTTACGGTAAAAATCTCGTTTCTAATAAATAATTATTTATTTGATTATTTAGACCAAATATGTTGCTATAGATTTGATTAACAACAATAATTGTAATACTTTGTTTTTTAAAACAATCACAGCACTACTGGAACTAGATTTTTGACAACCAACCAAGACTGCGATTTCAGATTTGTAATATTCATAAGTTATTACGATAATATTAATATACAAACAAATGAATATTTCAAATAACTAGAGAACGATGTATTCACACATGAAGGTAATAATAATGTATTTTTTAGATTAATTAATAAAGTAAGAACATCAACTATCACAAAGTACGTTTATGGCAGGTCAAAGAAAACTAACTCGTTAATTTACTTTATTTTCTCGCAATGTCAAATTATAATATGAATTTGCATAGAATACCATTTCGTTTAAACATACTATTTGATTTAAATGAATCATTTCAATTCCAACAGAAACCCGTTGAAAAACATACCGTATGAAAGTTTGTTGAGAAAAGAAAACTAGCACATAATGATACTAGTGAGATATCCGGAAAACGGGTATATTGATTTATAATAATTAATTATTATTACAAACAAATTATTTAATTATTACACGATGTACAGTTCTATGGTTTACATTTCACGAGTACATTATTAGACAACATAGGTATATCTGTTTTTATTGTAGGCAAAATTCCATAAAGCTACAGAAGATTCAGTGATACCAGGAAAGGTTGACGCTCAATAGCAGTTGTCCAATCCTGGTACAAGGTCTCTTAAAATGGTCATCCGTGTTCCTAAAAAATTTCAAATTAATTCCAATGTTCAATGCCAATACTCTAACCCGAGTACAAAATCCTGCAAAATGATCATTCGAGTACCCAAGAATTGTGAACGTGAATTATCTTCTGCGAGTATGTAGAATTATTTATAAACTAATATTTTAAAATCTTCTGTTTCATTTTATTTTGTTCATTTTGAGACTGTATAGCAACCGTCGGCAAATATTGAACCACGAACGGTA